TTAATTCAGATATTATTATGCATAAATTCTTTCAATTGTGTCTCAAATTTCTATATACTCAAGAAATACTTCGGCATTAAAATTTTAGAAAATTTTAAATGTCAGAAGTTCAGGCTAACAAAATAAATACATTAAACACTAAAAATCATTATCATAGATATTTACATATATCAGTAATGCTTACCAATTTAATATAATCTATCAATAAACCATAAGGAATTACAACAGTACCAGATGTCCACTTTTTATACATGAAAATATATTTTAATATACAGTATTTTAGTTTTTTTATATTTTCTAATCAAATGTGTTTTTATTTTTCTGTTTATCTAAAAAGTATTTATAAAAAAAAATAGAAATTAGTGCTGGGACAATTAATTGAAATTGGATCAGAAAAATCAGATGTTTTCCAATAATTGGAATTGGAACTGAGCAATATAACTTCTTTATGCACACTGGGGTGTGTATAATAAATATATAAAACCTACTTACTTGTGCCTCTAATCGATGTGTAGAAATACAAAAATAAACAACTATGTAAAAACAAGGCAATGGAACTGAGCAACTCTCATCACAATTTCAAATTCTTAAAACAATTCTTTCACGTTTAATAAGAAAATTAATTATTTGTTTCAACTGAAGATTAAAAATATTTAAAATTACAATATTAGCAATTAAGTACTGTATTAGTTTATTGGAAAATTTCATGCTGACAAAGCAGAGAGTATGTGACGCTCCATACATGAGGCATGTCTATCATGACAAACTTTTCTTTCATGTAGTGAAAACAGCAAGAGGTTGCATTCAGTCAATACTAACTGTCCTCATTTTAGGGGAGATAAGGTCACATTACTGTTGTCACCCAGCTGGTATTAAGTCGGCTTGACCAGCAATTTCAAATCAAAGCCAACAGTTGACAAGAATATTTAAGTGTTGGCAAAACAGTTTAAAATATAAACAAAATTATATTTTAATTGAAAAATTATATAAAATTCTGGTCTTTACACCAAAAATAAAATTAATTAAAATCAAATCAATTAAAACAGAATGGTTCAGAAAGTGTGGATAAAGTACTTGTCTGATTTGACTAATTTGGTTATATTTCATCCAGGTAGAGATGGGTCTCTATTTATATCACTTTTTTGTTAAGTATTAGTTTCAGTTTGCAGTGACTTTTAATATGTATATATAGATATAGATTATTTTTAATATTCAATATGTTTACTTATAATAATAAAACAAATTTCTCATTATATTTATGAAAGTTTTTGTTACAATTCACAGTTGATGCTGTAATACTGTATGTTAGAATTTCAAATGTAATTCGCATGATTCTAAGTAATAATACTTTCTTGCATTAAGTCTACTGCCATTTTGAGTTTTAAAAATTGATTTTTCAAGATGAGTCCATCTAGATCTTTGTCCGATTCTTCTTTTCTTCCAAAAAAAAAAAAGTTTATGCAATTGTTAATTTAGGAAAACGTAGCTCAAATGAATGGATTCAAAACTTGGTTAACTCATGATGATGATAATATTTGTTCAGCTCATTGCATCATTTGTCAAACCTCATTTAGTGCTAAATATGATAGAATTAAAGCATTTATGAGAAATATGGGGAAGACGGTCCTAAACTTCAAACATGTCAAACATGGCTCAAAAAGTTCTGTTCAGGAAATTTCGAATTAAAAATATAAAACAAGAATGCCTAAAAGCTGTCAAAATAGAATAGTTGTGGGAAGAAATTGTTAAAAATTAACAAGTAACACAATATATATAGAACCAAGCATAACAAAAAGCACTGAAAGCATACAAGAGTAATGGAAGAACAAAAACAGTAGATTGCATTTACACTTCAAGTGCATTTTTTCACTGTGTGCAAAGACTGAACTTTACAGCAACAATCAAATTCCAAAGAAAATTTTTGTCAAATTTAGCATTTGAAGAATGAAGTATCACTTAAATTGGAACACAACTCTTGTTACACAATCAAAATTATTACAATAAAAATTGAAAAATGGTAAGCAATGCCATTTGAATTATATTTATTTATAATTTTCTGCCCTTTGTTTAATTTTTAGATAAGTTCATTGAACACCTGCCATAAGACTGAGGATGAGAAAGATTCATAAAAATGGCTTGGTGCAATTCCTTTTGGAGCAATTTGTGATGCTGCATTTTATAATTCTTCACATAAACAATTAATATTAGTTTTGAAATTCTTATTTCTAAAATTTTTTAAAATAAAAATGTAAAACTAATATTAAGTAAAAATTCTCAATTTGAAACATTGTTGATGAATACAGAGAAGTTGTTAGTTTTAGTCATTATTATCATTATTATTTTGCTGATGCAAAATGCAGTTCTCAAGCATTGAGTAAGAAATGTTGCATGTAGGGACATCCCAATATTGCAATACTGAATCAATAATTTCCTTCAATGCCAAGTACTTTTTGTACTCGATACTTTTGGTGCAATACTGATATTAATAATTTGCTTCAATTATCAAGATTCAAGTATCAGATCTTGTATCATTACTTTTTCACAGAGAGGTAAGGTCCAACCGAAACCAGATTTTGAAACCAAATCAGAAACCAAAATAAAATTTTACGCTATTTCCAATTAAGTTAAACTTATATAAAAATATTAACGACCAAAAATCAATAATTTATTACATCATATTTTACTTCCAGAATTTATATATGTTTAGAGTTCAGATTACTATTTAAAAATAAATATTTAGTTAAACATTATGCAATACTTTTGTTTATTAATCAACTTGGACCATCAGTGGTGTTTAAAATGAGCTAAAATTTATATATACTTGTTTGCACTGATATTTATAAAATATGAACACAATAAGGAACTTTAATTGTAAAGACATTCTTTTACCTCTTCACCAATGATTTCTTATCCACCCCTATTCCATGTGTAGTAGAGCCCATTCTGAGGGCTGTAGATCATGGGCTCTTTGTGTATATAAGACATCATACAAGTATAAACTGAAGTATTGACTGACACATTGACTTTTGAACCAAATAGCCAGGATTCAATTCCCTGGAGTAAAACCAACAAAATATTAATTTCAGCTCTTGGATTCACTCAGCCTTCACTGTAATAAGTACAGTATCTACTCAGCAGTAAAAACAACTGGAAGGCAACACAACAGACTGCACAGTGAAGCTAGCAAGATTTCCAGTTTTGATACCCAATGCCAATAATGGCCAGTATACTTTAAGACTGGTACCAGTATCAACACTTTAAAACTACTCACAATACTGGTATCGATAATTTTGTGGTATTGGGAATTCCTAGTCACATTTATGGGTAAATGGAGGATGTGAAGTAATTTTGTTGGTAGTGAGTACGATAGTTAGAGGTTAATGTCAATGGTCTTATATTGTTTATGTAACATCTGATCAATGTGCAACTTAGATGACTTATCAACAGCAGATTCACTTGTGTGTGTCCTGACAATGGACTTGGTTGTCTGAAAATACTTAACAAAAACTTGTATTAAAGTGAAGTCCAGTAAAACAGATTATTGTTTGTTATATTTTGAACATAATTTGGTTATAATAGTAGTCAAACTTAAAAATGTTTCATTTATCAGTTTCAGATTATTAGAACTATATGAATTCTTAGAACTATATACTGAATTCTTTGTCATAGATTTAAATTTAATAGAAAGTAATGATTGATAATAATAAATGATGATAATTTGTTTTACTTATTTATTTTTTTATTTATTTGAATTAAAAATATTTATCATCTACTACTAATACAAAATTATAAATTCAGAACAGCATACATTAAAAATACACTGCTAATAAATTTATACAGTAATACCCCAAACTTAAGCGATAGGTGGAACCAAGCGATAACCGTGTAAGTTGGGGTATAATTTCACAATTTGTGCAAAATCCAAGTCAGATGTAAGCAAGCTAATAAATGTTCTCGCTAATCTTATTTCATCTTTTGATTCGTTCACGGTTACAATAAATCACCACATAAGAGTCTCTCAAGTCTCCATAGATATAAGAAACACAGAAATAAATAACACAAAATAAATTGTAGCTATGTGTCGATTCCACACGACACGTCCGAACATGTAAGCTGAACAATAGTGTGGGGGGAGTGGGTAATCAACACTTACGTGGCACTCAAACAAAAGACAAATCGATGAGATTTGAAAATCGCGTAACACCAGGTTCGTGTAAGTCGAGGTATTGCTGTATTTAAATTATTGTCATTTTATAATTATTTCAATTAATTATGGCTAAACTGATTGTTTTAATAATGTAAATTTCATTTGATTGATTAATTCCAATTATATGAAAATGACTAACATGAAAGTATAAGATACATAATGATAATTAAAAGTAAAAATCTTTTTTAATTTATATATCTTATAATCATTTAATTTTAATTTTGCACACATTTTAACTTTATTTCAAATTATTATTTGTGTATGTCAGACAATGAAAAATAGTTTGAATACTGAAAATGAAAAAAGTCGATGTAAATAAAAAATACATAAAATAGGATATTGAAAAATAAACAAAATTTGTTTTTTATTTATTACTTTTTAATTAATTATATAAATATATAATAAGTTACGAAAAATAATAATCAATTAAACATGTAATATTTTAATCATTTTTAAAAGCAAATTGTGAAATTATGATCATCTTGCAATTTTAATTAGAATATATACATATATATATTATATGGTATATTACAAAAAAAATATAAACTCGAGTTCTCTCATATCACAGAATGCTATGCAATGTGAAATTTTAGGAGCAATAATTTATAATAAAAATATGTAATTCATATTTACAAATACCCTATATGAAAATTTTAAAATCAATTTAAAGTATTACACTTAAAATACATTACTTAAGATTATTTGTAACTTACTGAGCTCCTTTATTCAAATTTCATAGCATTTATAAAATTCTGTTTAGTAAAAACTGAAAACAATAATTTCTTTTACTAACTTTCTCTCGATGACTGGAACGTTCTTCTCTTTCTTTCTTCCTTAATTCCTGAAGATAATCACTAAATAAACTTTCTCGTTCTCTCATTTTCTCTATATTCTTGAATCGTTCATCTTTTCCATATTTCTGGGCAAAATCACTAAAAATTGACCTTAAAAAAATTTATAAGTAAATAAAACATTGTTAAAACTGTTATTTATAGTTGCTATATTTTTATTCTTCTTTATGCATAATTGTTATTTTTTACTTTAAAATAGATAATTTTCTTAAACTACTTATAAATAATTTTATAATTTATTCACTTTACTTTTAAGTAAATTCCAAATGCTGCAATAATTTTGTGGCAGTATTAAAACTTTTTATATTGTTACAAGATGATAAGAATTTTCAACTGACAAATTTAAATTTGCTATTAAGTTGAATGAGATAAATTTAACAATGCAGAATTGCAGTGTACCATGTTAATAATTACAGATAAAAAGTAGTGATAAAATTTCATAATGTTGATATCTCATGTTTGCGTAATAGTCTATATCAGGTTTTCTTAAACATTCTAGGACCTAGAGTAGGGGTAGAAAATCTATGGCATGTAAGGAGAAATCATCTGGCACATAACATATACGATTTCAATTTATCATCTGCATTTTTTAATCATCATTTTGATTTATCACCTGATCATCCTTTTTTTCAATTGGCTTTTTTACATTTATTTTACATGAAAGCATATTTGTTTAAAAAGGTTTGCCATCCCTGGCCTAGACTATAAATTGAGGCAATTTGATATTGATTTCATTGCTAGTGCTGATGCTGACATTAAAGATGAAATAATCACTTTTTGCAATGGACAAACTGAACCATCACAAATTGCAATGATTACAGAGAACTCCTAGAAATCATTTTTCTTGGAAGTGAACCTCATTGTGGAATTAGATTTCTTACTCCTGGTCTAATGCTTAAGGCTTGTTGGATGGCCAAAGCCATTTATGCAATCAAAATATGGATGTTCATAGCACAGTTCCAAAGAACGAAAAAGAAGCTAGGATACAATACATAGCAATTTTTATTGTGAGATTCTATTTGAAGGCATGGTTTAAAACTCCCATTTCCAATTGCTGTGCCTTTAAATGATATGCTTCTGTTGAAGAACCTCTAACAGTACAAGACTGCAAACTCTACAGTTGCCAATACTGCTTTGATAAAGAATTACTAATAGATACAAAAGCCAAAATGAACGTAATGAGAACACCCCAAAGCAAGTGATAGTTGATCAGGATAGCATGTTGGAGAAAAATTTGGACTATTTTGTGTCAGCCAACCAAGATTTTTTTTAACATACTTGGTCTTGAGTCAAAATTCACAAAACTGCATATCACTCTTGCCTTCTGTGGTGAACTACATTGTCACAGAAATGAGTATCAGGCCCATCAAACGCATTAATGATACAGTATATATAACACAGAGTTGTGTTATACTGTATCTGAATTGATTGAGAAATACAATCGATTAAACATCCAGAATAAACAGCAAAACCAATTTCTTTTGCAGGTTGTCAGTGTTCACCAGAAGAGATATTCGAACTTTACAAAGAGAATGCTTGCCAGTAACTATTAATATTCCACTGTATGAATATTGTTATGTTCATCTTGTGACATTGTAGCATGAAATTACCAACTATAAATTTTAAATGCTTAGTACTGTATTACCTTGTATTTTGCTTAAAAAAAAAAAAAAAAATTTAGTGTTACAAACTTTGATAGCAACCTCTGAAGTTACCAAATTGCAAATATATTACTTTTTTCAATATTGGAACAAGTTAGCTAAGTAGTGCTCCTATGTAAAAAACAACTTTTGTTTTCAGTTCCAATAATAAGGATCATCCTAATATAATGCATTAATCTACTTATTTTTTGCAATATGATAAAATCTAGAAAAATAAGACATACTTGCTAGTGAGTAAAGCTTCTTCTAATAACTTTCGAAATTCTTCTTTCCTTTCTTTCATCTTGTTTCGTTTCTCCCGTCTTTCTTCTTCTGCTCTTTCTTTCACATAACGATCAAATACTTGTTTCCGCTCTTTTGATGTAAGAAGAAGATATCTCCTATCAAAAACAATCTTGTGAAGTTCTTTTTCCCAAGTTGAAAATGCTGACACCTAAAAAGAAGCAAAATAAATAAATGTGGCAGATATTAAATAATAAATGATTTTAATGTGAATAAATAATTTCTAAATACAAATATTGTTATTACATTTTAAAAAAATACAATTCATTATGGGTTAAATTTGAAGTTAGCATTAAACAAACAAAAGTCTAAATATCAATTAGAACATAGAAATGAAAAAGCTTTATTCATGTGTAAGTGTATGGTGTATTATTAATTTTGTATTCATTCAAAAACAAGTTTCCTTTATCAATTTTCAAAGCCTTATACTGTAGATTACAGAAAAAAAAATACTAGGTACTGGTAAGCATATCATTCTTTTTGGGAGGTGTTGTGTTTTACCATAAAGGTGCATATTGTATAGTACATAAACAGCAATAATCAGAAATTTTCACAAAGTGCAGAGCCTGCATACCCAATACACCAAGATATAAGACGGATATTTAAATTGTACATATAATTTTTAATATATATATATTTATATTTG